TGGTGGACCAAATTTTGATCGTTTATGGCAGGTTATCGGTTTTGACAGGATCGGTTTTGGGAGGGCCGACAGTATATTAAAAAGGGTTTTTATACAAATTTTGAGTTATAAGTGATTTTTCATTTGTTTTGAATTTTCCTGATCGTGTTACGTTACACCTGATCTTGAAATCTGATTGGCTTGCGCCACAAAATATCATGTGACTGCAAAGCTTTTGTGTCACCAAACGGCGTTATCACGTGATCTTTAGTGGCGCAAACCAATCATAACTACTTCGCAAAATTACTATACTATATACACCATGTAACCTTGGGGTGTTCGAGCAGGGCCGTCAAAAAATTTTAACAAATTCACGTGATTTATAGAACCACAAATGGACGATCAGAATGCAGAAATCGGGAACGTCAAAAAATTCGCCGAATGCAAATCGAAAATAATTTTAAATTATCGAAATAATACTTGGTTGGCGCGCCACATTATGTCACGTGTTAGTAGAAAGACCTTCGATTTCAGTTTGTTGGCTAACTACATAATCACATTATTCATTTTCTAAATCTTCTCCAAAATTTATTAAATAGACAATCATTTAACAATTAGTTGAAATAAGATGGTGCCAAAAAATAAATTTAGTTGCTAGTCTAAGAAATCAGACTATATATTTTTTAATTATAATTTACTGTAAATAACTAATTGACACTAATACAAATAAAAATAAAAATAAATTTTCTGAAAAATATAGTAATATAAACATTAAAAACTTTTTAACACCAAGTTCTACTTCTTGTATTATTTTTGATAAAAATTCAACCAGTATTACGACAACTAGACTTTTTGGTTTAAAAAAAAAAAATGTACACGAAAGAAAATGAATATATATATATATATATGTATGTGTGTAAGAATTAATTTATATATAGTCTATAAAGTCTCAAGTTGCATTATTTATTTCTTCTGCTTTTTTCGTGATACTCCTTCTTCACCACCTTCTTCAGTTCCATATTTTTGCTCCATTATTCTACTAATTTTTTGCCAATCTCTATCCAATTTTTGCTTTTCTGTCAACTCCCTACCACTTCTTCGAGTTTTACGACCATCACCTGTTTTAACCCCAAATTGTAACGCCGATTTTGGCATCGCAGTTACATTGTCCTAAAAAAAAAAAAAAAGGGAAAAAAAAGGAGATGAAAAGAGCCATAACGCTTGTGGAAAGGTTTGAAATCTAAACAATATAAATATATATTACCTTATAAGCTTGCCACTCTTCTTCGGTGTCAAAATCCCACCTTGATAATTGGGCCTTTTTATTCTTGGTAACCCCTTGATCTCGGATTGTATGCTCAACGCCAGTGCCATCTGAATCTGAATCTGAATGCCCAGAATCGTAAGCACTTTCTCGTGTACCTGTTAAACTACTAACTCCAAGTCCATATGTTGAATAGTCTCCTTCGTAGCTATCTTGCCCAAATAACCTCTTTTTAATACCATCTCGTTTTGAAGATTTATAATTATCAGTACCAAGTTCAGTAGTTAATGTCTCATCTATATTTTTGACACCGTTTGCCGCCGCTGCTTGATGTATTAAAGTTTTTAAAGTTTGATTTTCTTGAGGTTTGTCAATCTCCATCGATTCACCCTCTACTTCCTGTGAATTTGCACTAAAATAATCCTTGGTCTTTTCAACATTAGTGCTAGTTGAGGAATCTGCGGGTAACGGTGTAACATCTTTTTTATCTACAGCATTATCATTTTCGATCATAACTTTATAATCTCTTCCTGCATCAGCGAATATATCTTCGGAATCGTCAATAGCAGCAAGTTTCACCATTGTAACTTCCGCAGGTTGTTTCTCTCTAAGCCTTTTCTTAAGCTTTTTATCTTTGACATCTACACCACTAGCTCGATCACCTTTACGCATATAAGCCATTACTCGAGAAATTTTTTCTATGACAAGATCATTTGTAGATTTATCAACACCCGCAGAATCACTTACATCAGCCTTACTACGAATAACAGTTGTCGGAATGGCGAAAGGATCCCCATATCCGCCCATCTCATCAGCAAGTTCAAATATGTAAGCCATCCTCCCCGCCACAAATAATTCATTTACTTTAGGGGCCTTTTTTTTGATCTCTATCATAGTGAAATCATATATGTTCTGGGCAAGCCGACTATTAATTTTAGGAGTCTCTTGCATTTCTTCTTTAATCCTTTCCAATGCAATATCATCATCTTTTTCCACTTTGTCATTAATACCTTCCTCTTTAGTAATTTCATTACGGACTTTAGCAAGCAATGCATAATCTAAACCTTTAACTAAATGTGTATGTTCAGTATCACCACCAAGATATTTAGATTGTTCATAAATCAGTTTCGCTTCTAAAGTTTCACTATTATTAAGGGCTTTAAGTATTTGCTCCGTCTCTTGATAATCAGGATTAGCACCTTTTCGACGTTCGGCCGCACGATCACGATATTTATTATCATTAGTATCCACGTCCGAAACTTCGGGTCTACGATATCGATTGCTTTTATGACAAGAAAAATGATATTAAAAAAAAATTACCGGTATAATGAATTCTAATTTTAAAAATTAAACACAAACTTTTTCTTTGGTTTAGACCCCAACATTTCGGGCTTAGCAAAAGTCCTACTGTTTTATGGTAACGAAAATTTAAGCAAATAGTTAGTTTACTATAGATCGATTGGCTATAAAAAAAAAATATTTATATACTTTTATTCTACTTACGGCGTTGCTGGAGACATCCTCTGCCTAGGGGTTGCCATGCCGAGAACTCCTTTAGACGAGGCGTCTCCAGGCCTTGGAGTTTGTAGCAACTTTCGAAAATCATCTTGTTTTAAACTATGATCGTTAAAAGAAAAATTAGACTCGAATTACATTGTCAACTAAAATAAATAGTATTTTCATACCCTCGTTGTTTATTTTCTTGAGTGTTTGTATCAGACATTTTTATTAAATCGTCAAAACTTTAAGCAAAACTAACTAATCATGTGGGTGAATCGGACACGTATAAATGTAAAAATTACAATACTTTCTCCAAGATCGCTAAGAAAACTAGGGGTTTTTTGATGTGTCCGGTTATAACAAATACGATTGGTTATTCTGATTACTGGATTATCGTGATCTGTATTACCGTCAATATGGATAGTAACTACGTAATACGTAATAAAGTTAAACTATGTATAACAGATAAGGTAAATGTATTATGACGAAGTTGAGGTAAAAAACTTAGTTTAATAAAAAATTCTCTTTCCTTGTAATATGTTCAATTCGTCATAATACCTACATTTACCTATAATTTTTTAAATTTTCTTGACAATTGACACATGAAAATTTTTTATTACCCTTTTTTTATTTTGAATTTAAAATTATGTAAAATTCAAATGTCTCAAAGTTTAAAATTAAGCATAAAATTTAGGTTTTCTTGCCAATTCCGATAAAAAAAAATTTTTTATTTAAATATACAGCTATTTAGGCAACCACATTCTTTTTGTTCATTTTTTGATTCATAAAACAAAAGTCCATTTTTTTTGATACTATTTCATATAACTTAACCCTTCTAACCTTAATAAAAAGTAGTCCTTTTTTTTATGAATCAAAAAAAATGTAACATGTGAATCAAAAAGAATGGGATTGCCTACATAGCTGTAGAATTTAAGTAAAAATCTTTTAATTGCAAGAAAACTTTCACTTAAATTTAAAAATTATTTTACTTTTGATAACGAATCGAATGATTAAAACGTAAATAAAATCGCTACCGGTCAAATACTGTCCTTGTAATTCGGTACAATCAGCTTATCATGATTGGCTAATTTTTGAAGATCATCTCATCATAATAAAGTCTTATTAAAGTAACGATTTTCTGTCACAAG